AGATGTAAATCATTTATAAATGGTTAAACTTTAATTTCAGCCACACATTCTAGTAAATCCACAAGTACAATCCACTTATCAATCACTCATTTCTATGTCGTTATAAATTAAACAATTTATAAATTCTTCCCAAATGGAGGCCATAGGTATACATGGATCGATTGCAAGTTGTTGACATCTGACATCCAAGGTCGTCGAGTACAATTTGTTGTATGCATTAAGCCCATGCTCATTTAAGCTCGGATATTTTGAGATCAACTCGGATTAGTTATTGCTGAAGTTCGAGGGCACATAATAATTAAAGATTCCTTACATATTGACAAATAGACAATCAACAATTGACATTCGGAAGGTCTTACATCGGCGCTCACCAATTCCACCAATCAAATGTCTTAGCTTCATCTCCTAATTAGTTCATTAATTGCTGGAGGCCACATGTAAGGTTAACTCATAATGACCTGACAGAGCCGAGCTCAGTAACCAATCCAAACATGCCAATGATGTACTTTCTCAACTCGGTACTGTAGTTGATAAGACAAGGAAATGAAGGATGCATGCTAACCCTTCCCTATAAAAGGAAGGATGAGAGTCTTGGGAAAGGAGGAGAAAAAAGCTCTACACACTTCCTATTTCAAATATCTCCTTGAGAAAAAAAAAGAGCACACACTTGTTGTTACAATAATAATTTGCAAATCATTATCAATAAAGTTCTTATTTACATTTTAAGTTGACTTGAATCTTGTTCATACAATTTTTGACGTCAACACAAGTATTCGTTGAAAACAATGAATGTCCTTGATTAATGCAAGAGATAGAGACCAAATCATTTCAATAACTAAAATTTAAAACCAAACACCTGAAATAGGAAAAATAAAGTGCACTCACCTTAGCCAGATGTGGAACTGGGAAATATAGGTTTCCAAAGTAACTTTGCCAAGCCACCTGATAGGAAGAGTGAGCTTGAACAATCAAACAAACATGAATGCAGTATTTCATGCCACTTATGCAATTGAAAAGCCTATGCAGTGTCAATGAGATTGAATAAGATTACGGAAATCGTCGAAAATTGAATAAGATTCCGGATATCGTCGAAGATTACGACTATTATA